CTCTGCTTTCTCTTCGAGAGTGAAAGCCATTCCGGTTTCACCGTGAATGCGCGGCATGCGCGTCGTGTTCCCTTTCAGCACCTTGACCATCTTCCAACAGAAGTGATCATCTTCGGTGTTCAGGGCGTCGAGTTTGGCGTCGAAAGACGCGTATCGGAACTCCGCGAGCTCCCTTCTCACATCACCGCGCAGACGGTTATAGCGACGTTTGAGATCGGGATCCCAATTGCGCTGATATCGATGGTCCTTTACGGGAATCGTGTTGGTCGCGTATCGAAGAGAATCCTAGATTGCGACCGTGAGTCGTTCAACAGCCTCATCCAGTTCCGGAGCGTTGTGGATCGGTCGTATTTGTCCCATATTGTGGTGCAAGTGGTCGGTAAAAGCCGGCCACGATACAGTGGAACGTACAACCAGGACGCGAACGTCTTCTCCCACGTCTTCTAGCTGCAGCAGCACAGGGAGATGATCGGAACTAAGTTCGTTGAGCGTAGTAACCCTATGAACTAGTCTGACATCTTTCATTACAAACACGTCCAAAACGTCAGATCGTTGCACTTCGGTCGGCGGGTAATACGTGTGGTCGGCGGGGTCATCGGTGACAATGCCCATCTCGTCGGTAAGAACCGTTGAGTAGGTTGGATCGCAGCGTTTATTATACTTTTTACATATATGAGGTCATCGTAAGGCGACTAGAACGGCTACGATGCTATTATGCCGTCTTTGTTTGCGTAGCCAGTCCTTCGAATCCCCCCTACGACACGACGGCCTGCAATTCTAGTAAGCTTTGGCTGAGCACAACCACGCGTGCTGTGGTTACGCGGGGTCGTCTCGGCCGCGGCTGAAGGTGCGTATGTCCTAGCTCAGACCATTCTCGCCATGCCCGTTGCACTGTCGATAACGACCGCTCGAGACGACGCGCAATTTCACGAAACGATATACTCTCAATGTGCATACCCACAACCGTTCCTCGCTCAAACTGGCTTAAGTAACGCGATCGCCCTTCCATTGTGCACAGAGTACGACAACAAACTACAGTCGTTCCGTTGAATTTGTGCTGTGATAAATCGCCGTGACAGGTACCACACCCCTGCTGGAGGTAGCACTGAGCGCGTTACTGGGGACAAAAAAACAATAAAAGCCGCCGACGCACTGTGAACGGTATTCATAACTTCTTTTGGTTTGCAGTGATTTTGTGCCTATTAAATATTAAAATGCCTTTTAAAAAATTCCAAAAAACAGGAGAATAAACATTAAATTCTCCCTACAAATCGAGAGATTGAAGTTGGGCACTTCAATGCTGCAATTGTAGGGAGAAAAGCCTTAACGCCCATAGAGCCCTTTCCTTCTTTTTCATTTTTTGAGTATGTTGGTTTTTTATTTTGTTACATTTGATTGTTCTTAGAATTATGTAACTCAGGCAACCCATCTTTATGTACTTTGTCGAGCTATTATTGTCGTTAATGCAGTTTCCCTTTCATTATGATACCTAACCTTTTTCACACACATCCAGTCACGCCAATAATTAATGTCCGTTAAAAATTTTATACTTTACTAAATAATAATCCGCAAGAATCACAGCCTATGTTGAGAATAACTTGCTTTTCGATATTATAGAGAACTTGACGTAAGTTTTTATTTTGTTAGTTTTAAAATAGGAATTTTTAATAACTAAGAATAGCAACTCTTTAATCTACATAACCTAAGAGAAATTGTTTAAAATTCTAATCACACGTTGATATTGTCTTAATATTATCTTATATAATATTATGATATTATCATTTCGTAATGTACATTTTTATTTTGTTCTTTTGTAGAAGTCTTCTGAAGACGGCAATGTGCCGAAACCGGCAAAAACATTTTAATAAATAAATAATCATCGTAGTATAAGTGGTTTAACTTCCAAATACTATAATCTAAACTGATGATATGGATACTTCTACATTTAATATATTAAATATTAGTCTTTACTAAGATCAAGCCGTTATTAATTTAGGTTTATGGCCTCATCATTAGGTTCTTTAGCTGGTAACCTTGACGAATTTGATTTAATAAATATACGTAAGTCGTTCATGCTGCCTACATTAGAGCGTGACGTCACGGCTAGAACTGCGCATGCTCCTGCTCCTTGCTCCTTTGATCTAGACCTCTCATTAATATACGGTAATGTAAAGAACAATTGAGTTCGGTCCTGTGTATGTGTGGGTAGTGAGACGCGACCAGGACGAGTTGAGACAAGTAAAAAGGAACTGGGCAACATCTGGGCGATCTGGACAGTATGATTTGAGAGTAGTGAAGTGCGTATCAAAAACAGTTCGACGGGTCGGACGCGTAGACTTTAAAAGGGATAACGAGTTTTAGTTGGAATGTGTTATATTACTTATATATATTATTATTTATAGTTTAATAAGAGTAAAACAGACGAGTGTGATTAAATCGGGGAAAGGGATTGAATAGAGACAAATTAAAATTCCTTACAAATCAGAAGTGGGATTGGATCAATTTCGGCATCTGGAAATTCTGTAATCGAGAAAGTGTTTATAAATAAATCGGTAAAACGAATTAATAAAATAAAACAGTGTAAAATGAGTAAAGACGAATAACCGAAGGCCGGCGGATTCCAATTCAAGATGGCGCAAGGGGAACCACCCGTGTCATCACACAATCAATCGGGTGAAACAATCGAAAAGAATTTAAGGTAATGCCCGATCTTAATAAAACGATTTCAACGTTCGACGGCGATACGGACATGGCGCTTGCGTCGGATTGGTTGCACGGAATTCAAACGAGTGCGATTCTGTATAAATGGCCTGATTTGTTTAAAATCGAGACGGCCTGAAACCATTTGATCGGTCCGGCTCTTGATTGGTACACCGCGAGAATGGGGTCATACACACTTCTTAAATTTAGAGAAAATTTTTACGTAAAACGATATTTGGAAGTATATGTATGAACACAAAAGGTTCGTTCCAACCGCACAAATTTGACTCGTCGTGTACGCGTACACGACTAGTACAGGACTTTTTTCTGCGCATGTTCGTCCGTGGACACGTTTGTGTACGCGTAAATTTCGTCAACGCTGTTGGAACGGTTTGAAATTTCTGTGTACGTTTTATATCCAACCCTGCCGATAGTTAGCTCTGTAAGCAGTATGCGCACGAGCGCGCGCGGGTGTTCAAGTCAAACGGAATATAAAAACAAATCTTCGGCATTAGTGTTTTGTTTTGCGTCTTGCGACCAGTACTTTCTTTTTTCATTGTTTTATTATCGTTTTATTGTATTTTTTACCGGCCGGCGTTTAGTGTTTAGTTTTAGACGTTATTAAGTTCAATTGTTATTAAGTTATTAAGTTTTTACTAGTGTGGAAAGGTAATAAATGACAATATATAAGTTAACAAAAATCCCAATAAAATTAATGTAATATTTTTCTATAGTTGTAGAAAACACTGTTTTCGAAACACCAATCAAAAGGACAAAATGATGGGTAAATTTATAAATGACTTAGTGTTTATAAACTATAAAACATTAACTTTTGTAGATGTAAATGGGGAGCTGTGCGAGTATATCATTTTAAATCCACCAGGTGGTGATAGTGGAAATTCCAATGATCATTTTCTGTGGAATACAAACTCTACGAAACTTTTATTGGATATCTACAAAGCGAAACACAAGCAAGTGGGCACATTAGGTGTGAAAAATTTTAAAGTTTTGTATGACATAATTGCAAAAGAACTGAGTGTGCAACTAAACAAAAAAGTGTTGGGAAACCAATGCGCCAACCGGATGAGGGTATTGAATCGTGGCTATAAGAATTTTATAGATAACCAAAATTCAACAGGCAGGGGCAGAAAATATTTTGAATTTGAAGAAGAAATGGCAGATATGATGGGTAGAAAAAAAATGTGCATCCAGAAATAACAACATACTTCATGTACCCATTGAGAATAAAGAAAATGATGAAATCGAAAGAATGAGTGTAGAACTAGCACCAGATACACCAGAACCAATACCCGAGAAAAAGAAAACTACAAGATATGCTATCACAAACCGACGAAATAAAAACAAACGACTAACAATGTATGAAGAATTAAAAAATAAAAAAATTGAATTTTACGAAGAAAGGTTAAAGTTGGAGAAGGAGAAAATTGATGTATTAAAGGTGAAGAACGAACTGTTAAGAGAAAGAAACGAAATCCTCAAAGAAAAAAAATGTGAAAAATGTGATCATATATAATCTTTTTTTTTTTTTATTGTCTTGCATAATTTGTAATTTTTCTTTTTTTTTCATTTATGTATTTATTTTTTGGTTATTTTTCCTTAATCTGCTATATTTAAGACCAATATTGTGATATTTTGTTTTCATTTTTCCTTTTTGTAACAATTTTTCTTACCTGGGGTTTTGTAATACATAACGCTTTTTGTTTTTATCCTTTTTGCCTGTGGTATTTTGTTGCCGACACTGTGATGTTTTATTTTTATTTTTTGTAATAGAGCGTTATTTTTTGTTTTTATCCCTTTTTCCTGTGGTATTTTATTGCCGACATTGTTATGTTGTTTTAATTTTTACTTTTTAAACCATGTTATTTTTTTTCTTTTTTTTCTGTGGTATTTTATGTTCAGCAATGTGATATTTTTTCTTTTTATACCGTAATGTTATTTTTGTTTGTATGATCAATATTGTGATAATTCGTTTTTAGTTTCCTTGTGTATTTTATGATTTATTTTGCAATTTTTTTATTATATTTTTCGTCTTCTTATTAGATTTTAATCAAAGAGGTATAGTAGGTATTAGTTTAGTTGTTTAATATTTATTATTCCATTTGTGATAATAAAAATATTTGTTTCTTTATTTAATTTGTTTTATTTTTAATATCAAATCAACTACAAAGTGTACACAAATTTTCTAGTACATTGTATTTATGTTAATACATTTACAATCCTATTCCGTATATTTTGCGCATTTCTATCACCATCATCTTCATCATCACTACCATTTTCATCATGATTCCCTATTGCTTCATTAGCATTTGCATTTTCTTCTATATGGATTAAGTCGTCTAGCGCAATGTTATGTAAAACGCAAGCTGCCCGTATAAAATGAACTATAAAAGTTATACTACGTGATTTTAAATGATATAATTGTCTGAACTTTTGCTTCAGTAATCCAAAGCAATGTCAATTACATAACGATTTTTACTTAGTTTTCTATTGTAGTTTTGTTGTCGGTCAGTCAAGTTACCTCTGTCTTTAAAAGGAGTTAAAACATTTGATTTTAAGGGGTAACCACTGTCCGCTAGAATAAAATAATTTCCACATTTTTCTTCTAATGTATTAAATAACGACGAATTTCGGACTACCCTGCTATCATGCACAGAACCTGGATACCCAACAAAAAGGTCTATAATTTTTCTGTTATGATTACACACAGCTTGCATCTAGAATATTGTAAAGATATTATTACATTACAATTTAATTTTAACTCTTAATATTTTAAATAAACCCACTTGAATAGAATAATATCCTTTCCTATTTATGTAGGAGTCGCTATCCTCTGAAGGCTTGTCAATTTTAATATGGCTTCCATCCATAGCTCCGATCACCATTGGAAAACCATTTTGACGAAAATATCTCTCACTCTCCATTTTTTCTTCATTCGTTGGCCATGTAATAACACTTGGTGCCAAATTACTTATTGTGAATATTACCCTGTGTAATATTCTGTGGACCGAACTTATGGTAATATCAAACCCATCTGCCAAATCTCTATAACTAGACGTTTGATGGCCTATGTACCATAGAGCTATTAATACCTTAATTAAAAAACATGATTATTAATGAAATCTTTATAAATCAACAAAAATATACTTGATCATTTGATGAAATATTTTCATATTGGCCAGATTAATCTTTGTAGTGTTCACTGGCGTCAAATTTTTCTACAATAATTTCTACAGATTCTCTACTCAAGCGAAAATGATCGAAAAATGTATCATCATCGTAACTTGGAACAGTTTCCTCTAATAAATAAAATTAAATTAATACTTTTCTTGCTTATACTATACTCAGATTTTCAGTATCTGTAATATGTATATGTTACCAAGGAAGATTTTATTATTTATTTTGGGTTTTTCCATCAAAAACTCGTCATCTGAAGAGTCAGAGGAAATAATTGATACATCACTATCGTCACTCATTTTCTTTATATATTTTTATGCACTACTCAAATGTACAAAAAACCTAAAAGTATTTCTTAAACAAAATACCCAAAACTTAAAAAAATTTAAAATAATCCTTGAACATACTTTTACACAGTACAGTTACTTTGTGCCTTAACCAGCCGGTGGACACGCAATGGTAAAAAGTTTATCCTGCTTTCAGCGCCTCTATAGTTGCGACATGTGAACTAATAAGGAGCGCGGCAAATCGGCGGGTTTAAATAAATTTAAAATCTTACTCCTGTAATGGTTTTATGATGAAATAAATATATGAAAATAATACAAGTGCGTACAATATTTAAAAATATTTATTTAAGGCAAAATAAGTGGTATAATTAAGACATACTTAATACTATTATAATAATATTGAAAAATATATAAAACATATTAATTTATTTAATAAATAATAATTGTAACATCGTATTCTTGCGACTAATTGGGGTAGCCTAAATATTTGTTCGATTAATTTATATAACAATTATTATTATTAATCGACCGGTAATCAATTATCACAATGAAAGTAATAAACGTTTATAAAGCGATTACCTTTTACAACTACTTTGTAATATAATAATACACCACACTTATTTTAGCTAAAACTTTGAGACGAAGTGAAGTAAACAACGTAAAGAACGTAACTGAACGTAACGAAATCAAGTAAAGACTGTGACTAATACGCCAGGTAGACGCCATGATGAAACTACGATTTCTTTTTCTCGATATTTATTCTCAAAAGGTCATACAAACACAGGATAATTACATATATAATTTTTTTCTCATATATACATTATTTAGGTAACATATTATAACAATTTATAAAATAAGTGATTAAAATTTTAATTATTTAACCTCGGGAAGGACGAACAATGCCGAATATTGCCGAAAGACCGCCGGTAGCGCCACCCATAGTTGCGACAGGGAACTACATACTTGGATAAATTTATTCCTATGTCGTGTCTGAGGCCTGGCCTTAACCATCTTAACATGACCTTAACAGACACTTGCAGGCACGATGCACAATTGGAAATCAGTTATGCGCAAGCGCTAAAGAACGTGACAAACCGTACATCGTCGAAACCAGGTACGGATTTGACTTGTCGCGGACGCGTACATGAACGCGTCCGACGGTCGTTGGAACTCATGACAACTTGTCGCCGACCAGTCCGCGGCACGTCCACGGGACGGTTGGAACCGCACTTTTCAGCTGCGCAGTGAGGCTTGTGACAGTCAATTGGCAGTCAAAACTGCGGTTGGAACGAACCTAAAGTAAACAAAATATTTTGATTAATTTTATATTTTGCGTAGTTTGAAGTGGAAAATAGCAAGTATTCAAACGAAATAATATCGCGGCTTTTCTGTGACGTAGGAAGTGCACAGTCTGAAACAAGTTAAATTGTCCGTTAGATAGCGCTTGCGGTGTAACAGTGTCAAAACAAAACCATGGATGTAATAGAGTGTCTCTATTTCATCCATGAACAAAACATAATAAACATAACCTACAAACATGTGACGACTTATCAACAAAACGACAACAACACAATCGAACCCCTTTAGAAAAATACAGATCTGTAACACCTCGGCTTCCCAGTGAAGATGGGGTGGGTTTGAATTTATAAGGCGCCACGCAGTTTCAGTTACAGATCGCTCTAACTGCGAAGAGGGCTGGAAAGGAAAAGGTTCGACAACACCAACATATAACAAAACACAAAGAAATCGCGGAATCATATACCATATAAAAACAAATTTATTAAAGGGAAAAAAAATATGGTAAAACAAAATATAAAGTATATAAGTAGTAAATAAAATAACGAAAATTGTTCAAAAAAAAAAAAGTAGTATCCCGAATAATTAGGGGCAGTAAAAAGCAAAATGAAACAAAAAAAAGGTAATCAAAGAAATAAAAAATTAAACCAAGTATTGACCGCGACACGTTCCCGAATGACACGAGCGCTCGATCAGGTGAACGGAAAAGGAAAACAAAATCGAAATCAAAACCGAAATTAATAACACCCCTAATAAATCCGATAACTTTACAAGAAAATTAATTAATGAAATTAAAAAAATAATGATAAAAGAAAAAAAAAATAAATAATAAAGAACTGGTTTAAAGTGAAATGAACCAGTGAAGTTAACAAAAAAAATTAAATGGTAAGTACAAAAGAAAATCTTACTTTATAAAAAAATACAAAATTATCTAACCACACTGATATTTTTTTCTTCTGTATAAAAAAAAAGGAAAATTCTGACCTTTATTCCAGACTCTTTTGAACGACGGTTGATGACTTCACGATGACAACAATTATACGTAGATACAGCAACAAAATCCAGCAAACCTCCTTTGGAAACACTTGTTCGATGGTAAGTACAGGAAACTTGGGTTATGTGGATTCTAATTTACTTCTTTATTCCAGGTTGTACTTGTTTCCGGGATGGGAGATTTCCCAAGATCTTATATAACGAATAAGGCTCTATGTAAAGAGGTGTCTTTGCAAAGAACAAAAAAAAAAAACCTAACGTGTAAAAAAAGAAAAAAACTGTAAATATGTAAATAGATAATTAGGCAAGAATGTAGGGGTGGATGATTTTATGTAGCGTGAAAGGAGTTTAAATGAATTTAGGTTTAAGTTAGTATTAAGCCAAAATTAAAGAAAATGTAAAAAGAAAAACCTACCTCAAGGTGGTATGAGGTTTTAACCAGCAAAATGAATAATCTTTGTAAAAATGTGCAATAAATCCGGTGAAACCGTAATCGTTGAATAATTTCCAAACGAAAAATTAGAGGATTAATTAACTCAGATCCCGATAAATACGGATATAAATCGATCCAAAATTCTACACAGAATTATACCAAAATGTCGACTTAAAATTCTTGTTAACCATCCAAACACTACAAAGGCTGGTTTCAAAAAGAGGAAGAGTAAAATCGTGCACGGGTATTCATTCCCCAAAATTTTATCCAAAAAACTTGCTCCCAAATCGCGCGGTATCAAAAATTCAAAACCACTCCCTCCCTCTATTATTGAAAGTATGAACTTAAAAAAATGCAGACAAAAATTTTAATACAAAAATGAAGAAGAGAAAAAGAAAAGTTTTAAGGTTAAGATTTATTGTGTGATTGTAATGAAGGTAATGAAAAAGAAAAAGGCGTTTAAAATGAGCGAAAGGAAAGGATTTAAGAAAAGTGATGAAAAGGAAAGGATTTTCAAGTGTTTCCAAGTTCGGCTTGCTGTAAAAGAAAACAACAACAAAAATTATAACAAGGTAAATAAACAAAATGGTATATAATTCCCCGACTTCTGTACAATTACAGACAAATCACAATAACACAAAACCGGACGTTACAAACACTCTATCTCTCTTCAATACAACCTAAATGCATCGACATATCTGGACTGCGGAAGTGGTGGTGGTGGGGGTGACGGCAAAAAGACGCCATATTGGAAATACTTAGCTACGTCACAAACGTTTGTTTTGAATGTTTGTATCAGCTGTCGAACCGTAAGCGAATAGTGTTGTGCTCATTTATTCTTAATTTATTATTGTTATTTCGTTCTTTCATTTAGTTTTTCTTAGTTATAGTGTTTTTTTAAGTGTTATTGTTCTAATTTTTCTTTAATTTTAAGTATTTATTCAAAGTGTAAATAAGTTTGAACTTCTTTGGTTACATTTTTTTATATTTTTGATGAAAATGATGCTAACAGGTAAAAAATGTCTTCCCACTTTGAAAAACAATATATAGAGAGAACGGGAACATCTGTGCGAATTAAACCAGGGTGTTATCTAACCATAATTCCTACATATTAAGTTCCTATATATTTACTACATTCACATTTTTAATGATTTTTTTGTTTCAAGAATATATTTTTCTTCTTTCTACAAATGTAAGTAAAATTTTGTTATAAATGTTTTGACAAAAAATAAAGTACAAAAGGTAAGTCTGTGCTAACCGCATGAATCCTTATGGTGAGTTGTATTTACTATTAAAATTCTAATAATTGCAAGTAATAGTTATTTAAATTATATTTCATTTTAGTAATAGGTAGTAGTGTACTGTCATAATAATTAATGTAAGAATGTTGTTATATAAATTGGTAAGTAGTGTACTTTGCAAGATTTGCAATTGATACAAATTTTACATTTTTATATCCTTTAATCACTTTATCAATTACTTAGAAAGGTTCCACTACACCAAAAACACTGCAAGCAATAAAGCGTTTGAAAAAAAATCTTATAAAGGAGTTCAATGCCGATAGTTATCTAGAGGTGTGTATATGCATAATTTTAATATGAATTATAAATATATTGTAGTTGTATATGTTTCAGTTACCTGAAAAAATAAGGAGAATTAACCATGATCACGATTATCAGGCTAGTGAGGAACACCTTCACCAACAAATAAAATGCAGCAGTTGCGAAGAAAAAAAAAGTGTGAATAACTGCCAAGACTTAATTAAAGATTTACGAGAAACAACAAGTATTTCTAGTAATACTGAGAGCATTTTAAACTATTCGTTTTCAGATATTGTTTGTTCAGTACTTAAGAAATTTAACAAATATGTAATTGAATTATTTTAGATCTTTTAGATAATCTATTACATCGATCACATCACAACAAAAGTAAAAGATATCAAAGAACATCAAAATTTGGTCCAGAAATTAGAAGTTTTGCTTTAACATTAAATTTTTTATCGCCGAAGTCATATGATTATGTCCGCAATATATTTTTTAAAGCTCTTCCACACCCATCCACTATACGAGGTTCGTACAGATCCATGAACGGGGAACCTGGTATAAATGGTGAAGGTTTACAAGCTTTAATATACATTGCTGATCAAGATAGACATCATTTAGTGTCATTGGTATTTGATCAAATGTCGATCAGAAAACACATCGATTTCGATGGAACAAAGAATGTCGGTTATGTTGATTATGGTATCAATCTTGATTGTGATTTATTATTAGCAACAAATGCCTTGGTGTATATGGTGGTTTCTATTAATGGCAGTTGGAAAATACCAGTTGCATACTTTCTAGTCGATAAAGTTACTGCCTCTTGAAAAGCTAATATAACAAAATTAATCAAAAAAAAATAGTTTTATTTTCCAATCAAATTAATT